ATTTATATCTACTCATATGTGTGTAATTAAGTTTTTTAATGATTTGGCCGATTAATCGATTTATTGAAAAAATAACAGATTAATCGATAATTAAAATAATCGTTAGTTGCAGCCCTACTCTGAAATAATTATTAAATCAAGTGTTTATTTATGTAGGTAAGAGTATGTTTAAAATCTTGGTAAATTTGCAGGAAATGGCATCTATTTTGTTCAAAATTTTCTGGGGGAGGACCCCCAGACCCCCGAACAGTGTGTCCCCCCACTTTTAAAATGGTTATGACACCCATGTTTATAAGGTAGTCCCTGCCTGAATATAAGGACATAAGGAAAAGACCAAAACACAAATACATGCAGAAACTTTCAAGTAAAAAAAATGATGTAATATTCTTGGCCACCCATGTGTGAGTAGTGGTCCCAGTCTGGCCACCCCTGAGAAAAATGTCTGGCTCCTCCACTGTAGCCAMAAGCTAAAACCAGTAAAACAGTAGCTAAAAGCTAAAACCAGTAAAACATTAGGTAAAAGCTAAAACCAGCCAGAAGCAAAAAGTTAAACTTATCAAGTGCAAGTGTGTCATTGAGTCATTAATTAGTTTTGGATTTGTTTCATCCAAAGCTAATTCTAAAGAAACAGCTGTGKGTGAGAAAAATCGTGGCCTATCAAACATTTTGTGGGTTTTCTTCATATTACCCTAAGTTTTTAATGAAAAACATAAAATAAACAGATTAACCTTGCACTGGTAAACAGATTTGAAACTGTGATTTTCAGGTGAATCAGTTTATGTSCTGCCGCCCCCTACAGGTCACCTGGATGTAGTGCGCCTGCTGGTCAGTCAGGGTGCAGAGATCAGCTGTAAGGACAAACGGGGGTACACTCCACTCCACGCAGCAGCCTCCAGCGGGCAGATCACCGTGGTTAAACATTTTCTCAACCTGGGGGTGGAGGTGAGGAAACACCTGTGCTGCTGTGGTTACGTCTGTTCTCCCCCCTGGTGGTGACCACACGTGTCCCTCCCTGTGGCCGCAGATCGACGAGCCCAACGCGTTTGGGAACACAGCGCTTCACGTGGCCTGCTTTAACGGTCAGGATGCGGTCGTCAGCGAGCTGATCGATTACGGTGCCAATGTCAGCCAACCCAACAATAAAGGGTTCACCCCGCTGCACTTCGCTGCTGCCTCCACACACGGAGCGCTCTGTCTGGAGTTCCTGGTCAACAACGGGGCTGATGTCAACGTTCAGGTACGTCCAARTCAAGTCTTGAAGAACTCGGTGATTTTATGTCTGTAACTGTAAACAGGCTGATTAGTTATTCATGGCTCAGTTTAGCTGTGGATAGGATGACAGTGATGATGGGATATTCAAAATCTTCTCAATTTTCCATTTATTAATTAGGGTTATGAAATTAATCGAGTTAACTCATATTGATTAATTTTAGTGCTGGGCATAGA